CCCCCCCCCATGATAAATAATGACCAATCCCTTCCTAGTAGCTCAGATCTTCCTCAGACGCGCAGTCACGCAATTTCCACTGATACTTTACATGAAAATAAAAAGTTTCAATGGAATTGCTTCGACTTGAGTCTTGAAATGTTTTCTCTGAATGGAGTCAAGAAGTCTGCTATGGTAACCAGGAGAAAACGCCGCTGCACTTAAGCACAAACTTATGGTGGCATTACTGGACAGGTTTTGAAAATACTGAAGAAAAAAGAAATTGTGTCCACAGAGAGGAAGCATCGCCGGTATCAAATCAAATGTCTCCACCTGCCAAGTGGACTCCAACTATAAACCTGGATACAACTTAGGTAAATAGATAGATAGATAGATAGATAGATAGATAAATAGATAGATAGATAGATAGATAGATAGATAGATAGATAGATAGATAGATAGATAGATAGACAGATAGATAGATAGACAGATAGACAGACAGACAGACAGACAGATAGATAGACGGACAGACAGACAGATAGATAGATAGATAGATAGATAGATAGATGACCTTTATTCGGATAATATTTTAAGCTGCAAGCTTGTGAGGTCTACAAGAACCCTACAGAACTAAACCATATTTTATAGAAGTCAAAATTACTTTAAAATAAAATTTTTTCAATATGTTCCTTGGGAGAAATCTGGATCGTTTTAGCACGTCCAGTTTATTAGCAAAGCTCCTTTGGTTTCCAATACATGCGGTACCCAGCTGAGTTTCTGGTCAACTGTCAAGCCCAACAAGCGTGCTTTCGTAACGTTCCTAATAGCACTATCTATGTCCCATCAGGGTTCCTTTACTGAGTAACATAACCTCACTCTTGCCTGGACGAGGAGTTAAACGATTGTTAAGGCACCATGCATGTAACTCTTGCAGCGCGGCATTTAAATGTGCGATAGCTTTGTCTGCAGTTTCTCCTGTACAATAGACCGTAGTATTGTCTGCATACATATACAGTGATCTTGAGCTTCCAAAGGGTGGAAGGTCGTTTGTGAATAGTGTGAAAAGGGTTAGTCCTCGCACCGATCCCTGGGGAATGCCTAAAGACACAGGTAACAGACCTGACTTTAGTCCATTCACCACAGAGAATTGCTGTCTTCTATTGAGATCGTTCCTAATCCCATCACTAAACTCGTCCTTAGTCTAATCCAATCATTTGACTCGTCCTGCGCCATCTCCCATTTTTTAATACACGGGGTCGCGAGAGACTTGCTCTGCCACAACGATGGAGAATTAAATGGAAACAAAGAAAAGGGAGAAAAAAAAAGACTTTCCTTTTTTCCTCTCTTCCCATCTTCCCCCACGAGTGCCTCTCGCGCCCTTCCCTCGTTAATATATGAAAGCGGAGAGACGAATGAGGATTATTTAGGGACACCAAAGATTTTTTCGTAACTACCACTACGCACGGCGAATTTGCCTTTCAGTTGGTTGCTGCATGTAAAAAGGACGAAATGAAAAGGGGCGGAAATAATAAAGCCTCGATCAAACTCATGCCGGATTGGACGGGAAAATGGAGCAATGCTAGCATAGCCGCTCTTTAGTTTATTAGAACAGAAAATCTTGAGTAAGCTGATCATTCAGATTGATCGGCGTTCAAGTCAATCAAAGAAAATTGAGAAAGGTTCATCAAAGGCGACTTCTGGATACACCGGTCAACTAATCTCCTTCTTGTCCTTCGGACAAGGGTTGAAAAAAACATTTTACACTAAACCCAGGGGCGTGATAAATCAGGTCCGGACAGCGTACTCCTGGATTTTATGCGGCCCTTTTTCGCGTTGCTTGCCAGTGACGGGAAGCTAACAAAAAAAAGGCCGATCAGTTTTGGTCTTTTGATTCTCCGATAATTACACTTCTAAAGTAATTGCGAGCATTTTGAAATACTTGAATACGTTTCTTCGTGGGCAAAACGGCTACACGTTCGTGACGAGAGCTGTTCTCCAATCTCTCTGAACGAAAATAGTTTTTCTCGAGCACTTAGTGCACGTTCAGAGCGAGAGGATATAGACCGGGACAAGGTAAAAAATATCTGGCGATCTATTCAACTGAACTTTTATCGATATTTCCCTTCTCTCGCTAAAAGTTCATTTATGGTAGAAGTTGCCCTGGTTTAAAGTCAGACTTAATCTATACTCTACTTTGTTATTTGTGAACAGGGAAATAACAGTTGTATTGACATGGTGCCAAAGCGCTTTATTGACTTCTTCTCTGGACAATAGCTAAGGATCACAAGTGGACATTAGATAATAAATTATTACTCTTTCACTGCGAGTCTTTCTGCGTGAAGTCTCTTGAGAAACCACTAAAGACAATACCTAAAGCAGTATTTATCAAATAAGCGTCACTGTTGCTAGGCAACAACCCAATTGAACTAATTACACTCAAGTGTAACGTGTTGGTCTCTAAAGCAGGCAATAAATTTAATGCCTTTTACGCGCACGTAAACTCGAGCAATTTCTTCCAGAACTTAAGGGATTTAGCGCGGAGGGCAAGATGTTGCTTTGAAGGTGAGATATCTTGTCTGCTTGCATGTTTGAGTCCGACGAAAGTATTCAGGAGAAATCATTTTCATTGTTCATTTGGATATTTTACACTGATATACAATATAGACTCATTTGTCTGTTATGAACCGAACGTAGGATTGTTTGTTTATTGCTCTCTTGGCATAATATGTTTGCTCGCGTACACCACAGACCTATTTGTTTACAAAGCAATTAGATAGGAACATCGCTATTTGATGACAAATTGTAACCTACTGGTGTAAACACGTCTGTGCCATGATATGTGAATGAAGGTATTTCATTATTATTATTCGACTTCTACCTGAATGCAAACTTCTATCTGGTCCTAGGCGGCAGCGATTTTACAAAGGCTACTTGGCAACTGTGTGTGAGTGAGCAATCGTTGGTGGATGCATACGCGAACTGTCACTGCATTGAGTCAATGTTCAAATTCTCAGCCTGAGATGACGATTATCGAATGTTCTAATGCTGAAAGAACTAAAAAAGATTGGACGCGGAAAAAACGTTGCGAATTTTGCTGCCGTTGTACAAGGCAATCGTAATAAAGTTGTCTTGAACAACGTACATAAAATAGAAACATGTATCCACGAAGATCACAGCTCTGCCAGTTCGCGTAGAATTAATTTATAATTAATCATGAATGATTCTTAAATTAATGGTATTGGCGTTTTCGTCATTAAGAACGTCGCATTTCGCAATTGCACATTTAGTTTATTCGGCGAAGTTGCTCCCAACTTAACCGAGTAATAATAATTGGACATAATTTCATCGCCGTTTCGTAAAAAAGAAATGAAATTTAATGTCAAACAGTTAATTATCAAAAATATCACTAATTGGTAGCTTTTTATATTATTGATTTTTTTTGACCACGCTGTTTACATGGCCTGCATGAAAAGCTTGTATCTGTTAAGCTAACATTCATAACAATAACGTAATAAATTTTTACATCAGATTGTAGCTCTTCTCTCAAATGAAATTTTCCGCGTTCGAAAAGATTGCTAAACTATAGATGTTATCTACAAAATTAACTGAGTACCTTTCAGTCAATCCGACTCAAGCCAACACTCAAAATAAATAAAGGTTAAGTTTTGAAAGAAACTGTGGTGCTACGTCAGAAGATGTTATTACAAGTTAATTTGGATTCGCTCTGACGAAGGGTTAACACTCGAAACGTTTGTTTTAGAGTCTCTCAACGGTGGCTAATTTACTCCTGCTAAAACAGTAGATGGCGTTGAAGGCGCGCTCTGATTGGTTACTAAAACTGCGAATATCCTTTGCCATTCACCTCCAAGCAACGCGCACAGGATTCTTTCCCGAAATTATTATAATCGTTGCAGGAGTAAATGCGTCAAAAACATCTTTTTGTTCTTTATTATCTCACTGTATACACTGAAAAAACTAGTCACCTCCACTTCGGAGAGTAGTTGTCAAGTATAAACTCAGTAGATGATACCAAATTAACTAGTTAAGACAAAACGCGCTTAGACGAAACGACACGGAAAAAAAAAATGGCAGAGCTAAAAAAATTTGAATGAACAAAATTTAAAAACAATTAAGATCGAAATTGACGCCTTTAAATGAAACTTCTTCGAGTTTTACAATTAGATGATTGAGTATGTTCCTTTTCCCATCTGGTTTCTGCAATAAATTTATTTTATGTCAAATAAAATTATCGGCTGAAGGCTTTGCCTCAATTGAAATACATTTTATCTTTCAATCAACTTTTGGAGAATGCAAATATACTTTTAAGAGTGTTAAAATGAATATTCTGCTGAAATAATGAACACTTAGAAGTTAAAAGCTTCCGGCCTGTTCTGAACTGAGCCGGATAACAAGAAACATCTGGCTTCAGTTTTCCCTCAAAAAAGCTAAGTTAACATATCATCTCTGTCATTGCCTATTCCAAGTTATACTTGTTAATTGTTTACAGGGATCCGGCTGATAGACTGTGAGGTTATATTTGAGAATCAACGCTGTTCTTCCAAGAATCAAGCTAAAAGCGATATGTCCGCCACAAGTGACGATAACACAAATGTAGGTCCGCACAACGTACCGACTCTCAGTGTACAAGAGGTGGCGGATTCCAATCAGAATGTAACGGCTATCAGCTCGACTAGAAGCAGCGCACAGATCGAACGCAAGTCAGGAATTATCACCGAAGGAGATTCCGAAAGTCGGCAAAGAAGCGGGCGAAGCCGGCTGTCGAGCGGTGAGTCAGAAGTGACTTGGTTCTACTGATGAGTCAACGAAATTCGAATCACGATCAGTATTGTGTTCAATTGAAAATGGCGGAATTGAATAAATCAGCTTTCTTGGAAAAAGCTTAATTTGATTCAAATCTTACTAGGAAGGTAGTGCGCTGATCACAGCTTTTCAAAGCGGCCATAGAAGATTGGTGTCTTCGAGCTGCTGAGGAAGAATATTAGCCGATACTGATGGTCTAGCAGTCTGTATATTTTATCAAAAAAATTTGGTTTTAATGTTTCGATTATCACTCTACAAGGGGGGGAAAACTCATTTATAAGAATTTCATGATCACCATTTCTCTCTTAAACTACATTCGATATCTTTATCAGATGGCGAATCCAAAAGGTTTTCAAAACCTTTTTAACAATTACTACAGTTAAAAGTAATTGTTTTCCTATTGCAACAAGAAAGCAAAGCGCTGCAACGACCTATCTTTTTCCTTACTTTTAACAGCTAAATCTAAAAGAGCAGGTACAGGCAAAAGCAAGCTGACCCCAGTTCCCACACCAGTTGATAAAGATACGTCCAAAGGAGAGGTTAGCTCAGATGCAGAAGCTGGGGAAGACAGTGATTATGATACAGATCTGGAGTTTGAAGAACCTCGTCCAGAATACGACCCAACTGGTAAAATAAATAGCATATCAGACTTCCTTATATCATGACTGCCGCGAAAGTATTAGTCCAGGGGCATAGAGAAGCTTTATAAAAAATTCCTATGTGGTAATGAGGAATTTGTAGTCATTATCTTGTTGAAACCTAGACTAGTAGCATTATATTATATTTAACAAATTGCCCACAATTTTCCATTGTCTAGAACCTTATTAATCATAGAAATGACGTCCGCAACGTTCAAAACTAGAGTGAAACCACGAAGCGCAGCTGAATACGTTGAAGTGTGCGTTTTTTATTACGCGCGCGTGCCTCGATCAATCGTTACTCTGTTTGTTTTAATTTGAGATACGTAAAGATTTATAAAATAAGTACAGGTAAGAAATGGATGGCGATAGACTCTGTTGCTCTGAATTTTTTTGTTTCCCACTTAGTTTTAATTTTTGTGCTGTTTGCTACAGCAACGACAAGTATTTCTACGGGGCCGTCCGTCTTTTAACTTGGAAACCGAGAACCGGATTTCTGTTCCTGAAGGTTTTCCTGCACTTTTTTTTCCATCACGAAAAGTTTTTCTTCAAACTCTTCTCCACGTATACCGATCTTAATATTTGGAAGTTTGTTACCACCCACTTTGTTACCATCCAGATCTCAAAATTTGCAATTGTCTTTACGAGATGAAGTTCTTTTCTCTGACATGGCGATGATTGTCGAGCGTTGTGTTACATCATACATCTTTTTTATCGTTTATCACTTTATTAGCAACAGTTTTCGACCAATGCGCGCGCGAGAAGTTCTACAGACATCACAAAAATATTATATAATGTATAAAATATTATCACATATCTATACATTCCATTAGATATGTTTTCAATTGAAACGTTGTTTTTCCATAATTATTATCCCTAGGTGGATGTTTGATAACAAAGACAGCCAACTTTTGTAACAAATTTATATTTCTATTCCACTCCGACTACTAGGTCGAAAAGCATACCGGGATGCCTGCTCTCAACTCGGTATCATTCCAGTCTCCTTTGTTATCGAGCACATCACAAGGGAGGAGATTAACATTAAACACCATGGCCTGGGTCCAACCGGAGCCCAAGCCATAGCAGCTGCACTAATGCGAAACACGACAACGACGAAACTAAATCTAAGAGACTGCGCAATAGGTGAGATGGTTTTTTTTTCTTTCATGCGTGTCCCCAATATTAATTTATAGAGGTAGATCCAGATCATATTAATACATTTTCATTCTAGCATGTTTTTCTCCTTTTCCATCTTCCATTTAGATCCAGAAGGCAGTGTTTACATCGCCAGATTACTTCGAGAAAATTTTTATATCACGGAGCTGGACCTTGCTGAGAACAAAATCAAAAGCCCTGGCGCGAAAGCTATTGCCGAAGTTCTTAATGATAACAACACCATAAAAACTCTGAACTTATCCTGGAGCGAGTTCAAAGACAAAGACGCCGCTTGTCTGGCAGAAGGAATTCGTGTAAATCAAACTCTGGTGTGGCTCGATTTGAGTCATAACAACTTTTGTGAAGAAGCTGGAGTTTTATTCGGTAAGAAATACAAAACTTTGATCGAGTAGAGTAATCGTAGAGGGCCCAGTTGTACAAAGGTCGGATAACGCTATCTAACAAATAAATTGCTATCTGGTGGATGAGTGATAGCAAAACGTATAGCGTTATCTACTGTATAGAGTTTTATCCAGTGGATAGCGTTATCTAACATTCGAATAACCGGGGCCAGGTGAGGTACGCAGTCTGAAAAGGTCTGTTGTTGGTAACAGTGACTGACGCCTGCCTCGACAGCCTAATTACAGAAGTCATCATTAGAGTCAAACGAAGCGCTGTTTTCCAGTCGTCTTTCATATTTGTAAGTCTGGCTTCTTGACAGTGTTCAATTTTGCCGTCATTTTGATTAATCTTAGGACTCACAAACTACACTTTTCGTTTAGTTGCTCGAAAGATTCGAGAGATGCGCGCGCTCTGATTGGTCAACTAATCACTGATCATCTAGAACAAGGTGATTATAATACCAAAGCGCTAATTTTCAAGATGGCCACTGGGCATTGTCCTCGAATTGGTCTCCAGGGTTGTCATACAAATAGGCTTTTCATCTTTGCGGAATAATTGTTCAACAACTTCAGACATACAAGCTGACGCTGATGGTGACTTCCACTCAGGTCGACGAGATGTTAGTCAATTGCGATCACCGACATCAAATTTTCGAACTACTCACTGCCAGAGCTTGAGATCGCACTTCATAATCGGGCTAAAACCAATTAATAAGTGTTTTTTTTTACTAAAGGTCATTTGACGCGGCAGTTAGAGAGGGTTAAGGTTAACTGAGATTGTATCATCCATGCAGTTTTTTCTGAGGGGACAGTTGCTCTCAAGACAGTTATTCTATGACAGTTACTTTAAGCTATCTGGTATTACGAAAATAATACCTACCTGCGTGTTTCGTAAGTGTCCTGATGCAGATAAAATAGATCTTGGAAGTTAACCGATGAGCTTAGAACTAACAATTTAAATCAGAGGAGGATTTTCTCTTTGAGTTTAAGTAAACTCACTATTTTAATATTTTAAACAATTTTAACCGACTTGAGTTGTAATTTGCCTCGAGTTTATAAAAGATTTTGCGTCTTATTTACCCAACTATACCCTTTTATTTGTGTTTGCACAACAACAATTTTACAATGTTTTTACTCTAGGACCGGCCATTGATGCAAATGGTGGATTGGAATATCTCAACCTTAGCTGGAATCATTTACGAGGAAAGGGTGGAATTGCTATCGGCAGAGGGCTCCGCGCCAACTGCAGCTTGAAGACACTCAACCTATCTTGGAATGGGTTTGCTGATGAAGGTGCAGCTGCGGTTGGAGAATCACTTAAAGAAAATAACACACTTACTGACATAGATTTGACTAACAACCGGATTTCCACTCAAGGTGCTCTGGCGCTTAGTAAAGGAATTCAAGTCAATAACACTTTGAAAATATTAAGGTTTGTAACGAGTGTACTATACCTAGATACATATTGCATACTGACGAGATAACGATGGATGGCGTAGAAACCTATTTTGATTGCGAGTTGATTAAAGCGGTGGGCGAGATATTCATGGCTAGAGACATTTTTAATCCTACCAGACTTACATAAGCAGACTCAGAAAAATGCTAAGTGACGAAAGCCCTGGCGTAACAGGCCTAACGAACGAGTAGTGTTCCTAACTACTTCAGTTTTACAATTTTGATGAAAAATTTGGGTTATTCCTTTAGAGTGACAAATAATGTAAATTTTTCCAAAGTAAAGAAATGATCCTCGTTTGAGAGTCTCGATAGGGTTAACTGCTGGCCGTAAAACGGCCAAAAAATTTAGCCTTATGGCGTAATAATTGACAAATTTTAACCGATAGTCGTAAAAATGTTAACAGTGAAAAAATTTGTGGTGACAATAATCATATTAACCGTTTGCCGTAAAATAGCGAAAATTTTTACCGTTAGCCGTGTAAGCTATCGCCCCATTGAGACCCTCTCGTAAGTGAGTTACAGTTGAAGCAAAATACAGAAACAGGACTTTCAGGCTTCGACGAGATTCGAACCCGTGTCTCCCACATACTATAGCCGGGCGATGTTACCAACTGAGCTACGAAGCCACACGTGGGGATTATTTCTTCGTTTTAATCTCATACACAGACCAAGTTCGGATTTATTTCATTAATATTGATGATGTTTGTTTCTTAAATGTATGACTTGAAAGTACTCATTAAAGATAACCTTCTCTTCTCGTTACTTCATTGCAGAATTGGAATGAATCCCTTACAAAATGCTGGTGCTTTTGGCCTTCTCACAGCCATGAAGAACAACCTTGATACGGCGTTAGAAAAAATGCTACTCAACAGTGTTGTGGTGACTTTAGAGACCCAGGCCCTCGTAGAGCTTCTTTTGGGCCAACATCCGGGACTCACCATTACCTGCACTTATAGCAAACGTTCAGGAAACCTATCGGAAGAACTTGACAATCTTTACGGAAAAAACAAGAAGAACGACTTGATTTATATTCTCAAGCAATACGTCGAAGAGAAGAATTATCGGTTGGTAGATTTGTTTAACCAGTTTGACAAAGACAATAGCTTATCAGTGACCAGGGAGGAATTTCGGCAAGGGCTAAAAGGCATTGGTGTGCCCATGACTGATGATCAGCTGACCGCATTGATTGACATGTTGGATGAGGACGGGGACGGTGAAATTGACTACGGTGAATTCACGTGGATAAATGAAGTAGAATAAATGACGTACTCCTTGAATGTGTTGACGAAAACCTGTTTCATGTAAGCTTCTCAGAATGAAAAGAATTTTATTCATATATGAAGTTTTTTTGAAATTGTAGGCGAGTGTGGAACAATAACACGAGTAGTGAACATCTCTATAATTTTTTTATTTGATACTTGATAAGCTCTAATCTGGGACCTGACGAATGATGACTGGAAGAAGAATCTAAAAACGCTTCCTTCGAAAAAAAAAAATTGCTTTTTAAGAGACACGCTCGATAAAGAACTTGAAAATAATAAATTCCATCAATTTATTATTAGTTACTCTCAATCTCGATCTTAAGGGAATCTTTGTTGATACTTAGAGCACTACATATGATCATAATAATTCCCAACCTCAGAAATAAAAGTTTTCGACCCACTTTTTTTAAACTTTCCTTGCATATGCCCCGATAATTTGTGTTTCAAGAACTACCTTGCTTGCAAAAGAGCAGTGTAAATAGATATGCAGAGCCAATCTTACTAATTACTGGTACCAATCTGATTGAAATTATGCAATAAAAAATTATAGGTCGCCCTACTCGGTTAAGGGAAGAAGACCTGTCACAACTTCTCTCAAGTGTTTTATGAAAGTCTAGTCTCAGCATGTATGATCATTATACGCCCATATTTATGCCCAGCGAGCTTGCCGGTGAGAAAAAACACGATGCTAATGTTGCCATTTATTTCTAATTACGTAATCTTATGTGCAGAAATGGATGTGTATGGCAATACTAAGGAATCATCTTAACTGTAAAATCCACTAAAGCCTCTGGTACTTGCCACCATTTCTATTAGGGCACATTTGCACCGCTCCTCTCATCCAGTATTGTGGAAGTGCGATGGGTTTTATTGCTCCTACTTGATCTGTCCGAAATTTTTGATACGAGAAATATGTTATGTAATGTAGAACAACACGTGTTTCTAATGATTACGTGAGGTGACATGTCTTCTTTTCCCCTTGAAAAGTGCACGTTCAATCTTGACAATTCTGAATTAAACATACACTGAATGAAAGAGAGGAACATGGCTCAGTTACTGTGAAAACTAAGTTAAACCTTCTTTTCCAGTTCGTGTATCAAGTGGTACACAGCACAATAACCTGTGCTTACGTTGTGAACTTTGATACCTTAAGCCCGATGAACTTCAAAACCGGCCCATTTACGTCAAAGATTTAGGAGTTCGCATGCACGTTCAATCCCCGTTAAGTCGATCTATGTCGTGATTTTATTAGTGTAGTCATCTCACGAACGTGCCAACCTTGTGTAACTTAGTGTCTTTTCAGTCCAACCCAGCTGTTGACTTAACAAAAGTTTAAGAAATGAAGTGTCAACAAAAAATTCTTGTTTTGAAAGTTGCTGTTTGAGGATAATGTGAGGACACAGAGAACAAAGTAACTAAACATAACAAAAGCCGTGTAGCCGAGGGCGGAGATTAGGGATTCAGCTGAGCTGCGCTCCTCCTAATTCCTAGGTAATTGCAGGTCGGTGAAATGATACCATACTTGTTTGTCAATAGTATCACAGTTCTCATGCGCTCGTTCTTTTCTAATAAATGACATGATTTTCAATTGTTGCTGTGGCTCTTTGCAACGGACGCAAAGCCGGTTTGTTGAAGTAAATTTTGTTTTTCACGCAGTCACCAATGAAGCAAAACACGAGAAAGTTGTTTATATTTCAGTTTTAATGTCAACCTGGAAAATGAAACTCATAGGTGTTTTTGTTGCATCGATGCAGATGACATTTCGCCGGATTGTTGTTTACGTCGATCACGGTAACGACAACACAAACAGGTGAAATTAAATAATTTATGGCCTCACGAGATTTTCTCAAATTATTTCACTTATTAACGTGAATGAAATTCTTTGAATGAAATGTAGAGTATGATTGAACTAGGTTGGAAGTTCTTGTGGACGTGACTGGTACACATTAAAACAATACACAGAGATTTCTTTTTGTCCACGACTTTGTACGTGCTCCCGCCCAAGATAACTTCAATAACGTCCAATCGTTCACTCGGGTACTTCACTGATTTGTTTTACTCTTGAGGTATTTCTGTATTTCCATGACAATTACAAACGATCTGGTATTGTTATTGGGACCAATGTGAGTACAATGGCTGCCTTCTTCTCTTTTGTAGTGCACATGATGTGATATTAAAAGAACCATCGCCTGATTCATGGGAACCTGTTTGATGGATTAACGCAAGGAATGAGCTATTGTTAGCTTTCCCTGTTATTCATCGAGGAATGTTAAGTACTTTTCACAAACTAACAAGAGACTTTGTGCTGGAATTCAAAACCTCAGTTTCTTTAGCTCGCTAGTAACAAAACACCTCCATGGATATTGCATAACAGGTAAGACCACTGTGACATTTCCAGACCAAACTTCAAGTCTTATCTTTGAGAAATTGGGAAAAAAATGTCAATTCTGTATGTACCAACGAGCTAATCGTCTGTCGAAGGATCAGCCCGATCCAACTACATTGTATTGATAGCGCTGCATTCAGCACAGCTAGATGGTCAACTTTTTCTTATTGCAGAAATAGTCGTTGAAAAGAACTCGAAAACAGACCTCCCTTGAACTGAAAAATAGCGCGCACTTTTGTTCCAAATATGTGACATCACATGGCGTTTCGTGGATGTTCAAGACTTCTTTTGTATAAAAACTGTATAATACCGGCTTTTTGTTTTTGTAGACCATCTTTGACAAGTATGGCTCTAAGAAGGCTCTGTTTCGTTGTATTTGCATCCAGTTTGACACCTCATGATCCCTTGGTGTCAACTCAGTATTTTTGCTAAGAGACAAAAGGAAAGCAATCACAGCTAAAAGCTTGGACTGCCCCAAAACGGAAGTCAAACAATATTTTATCCACATAAACTGAAAGCTTTTGTTATTATTACATTATCACGTATCTTGCAAAGTTGATACGACATAAACACTCGGTTACATAAGAGTTAACTGGATATCTGTCCGCAGCTACTGATTGAAATACGAATGTCAAGGGAAAAAATTCCATTAGTCCATTTGAAAATTATTTTTTTAATTAGTTCTGTTGAAGCTTTGTCTAGATTTCGGCGATTAACATACCAGGTATTCATTTTCTTGTTTACGTTCCCCAACAGATCTAATTTACCACAGTTTTAAAAAGTGTAAAGCTGAGTTCATCGGAATTCTAAACTAGTAGTCAGCAGTGTGGTACAACGCGAATACACTTGTGCTGGGTAAATGGTTCTCGAGATGTCCACTGAGAAGGTGGGTTCACCAAGTGAAGGAATGACAGCTAAAGTAAAAGATTCACTATTCAGATTTCGCAAAGAAGAATTAGACATTGAAAAGCTGCGTACATTTTCAAGATCTCTAAATGATATCACTTCAGAAACATTGTACAGCAAGTGGAAAAGAGCGCGAGGAGAGGGAACCAAGTCACCCCGGCGCACAACTCGAAGTATCTCTCTGATTACACCGCCAAATATCGCGCGCCAAGAAAACCTACAACAAGGTAAACCAGCTAGGAAGAACAGCTTTCATGTTTTGCAGGAGAATGTTTTCAGGCCACGGGGTTGGACTATAGCGGCGAGTCCCATGGAGGTCATCAGCGAGCATTTTGCAATGCATACACTAGATGTCAATAACAACAACGACACGCGAGGCTTAGATGGACAAGATGCAAAGCGTCCGTGGGGAGAGAGAAGAAGGAATAGGAAACAATTCAGGGTATCACTGCAGATTCCTCAAAAGAAACACAGTCCACCAACGTCTACTGGAGCTGAAACAGTTACTCAAGGGAAAAAGGATCGTGTTGATCGTAAACAAGAGGTCGGAACCGGTTCGGAAATTTTTACCAAATCCTCTCAAGTGGCACGATGTGTTTCCGAATCTTCACGAGGGGACGGAAACCCTCCGATAGTGGCACACCTTGTGAGTGAAGTAGATGATGCTCCAAAGGCAATGGAGGACTCATATGCAGAGAAACCTGTTTGCAGTTTGTTTACCGAAACAGTGAAAATCGAGCTTCCACAGCAGTCTGTTAGCATGCCCGCATCGCCAAACTTCCCAATGAGAAAGGTTCCTGAACACGCGTGGGAGGAAGTCACAAAAGACTCTGATGGGGGGCAAAGTAAAGAAGTCATTGTCCAAGACGCCTCTGAGATGACAGCAAGCAGTGAAAGGTCAAAAGCATCACAGAATACTTTCTCACTTGGCTGCACTTATGCAGTGGTCAGCCAACCAACGCGAGAAAATGAAAACACTGTCAAACAAATAGCGAAAATGAACAGCACAGTGATCAGCAAAGAGCAACGTGCCGAGCTGGAAGAAGAATTCCAAAAGTTGAAAAAAGCTTCGCTCGAGTTGGATAGAGCTGAGTTTGAAGAGAGAAGATTCGATAGCCCAAATGGAGTCAATTCAAAGGACATTTTAGAGTCACAGCCGTTAAGACGATTCTCAGAACTGAACAATCCAACTGTATGGAACTCATCTAGTCAACCAACGGCTAGAGCTATTCTACAGAATATTAAAAACGTTGCGCATAAAACAGAAAAAGAGAGAATTGAGGATATCGAGTGGGCTTTCGAGTGGATCAGAAAAGAACTGGCTGAACTACGAGCTCAAGATAAAGATATAATGCGAACATTTACTAAGATTCAAGCCGGGATAAGAAAAATTAAACTCCAACGTGCATTGAACGGCGCCTTAGACGAGTCGTACGAATATGACATTGTGGACCATTCTGTAAATTTAAGCGCTAGCTTCTCGTATGTTCCGTTAGTTAAAGAATTCCATAACACGTTCCCGAGAAGAGCAAGTCTTATATGAACTTTTAACACTATCTAATCAACCGTCAAAAGACAATAATGAATTGGTTCGAAATAGAGGCATGTCTAGGCCCGTCTGCGCTTTATAAGTATTGACTAAAATTAGAGGCTTTAATCTCTGTTACTGTAAGAAATACTCAGCCAAGTGTGTTTTTTTTCGAGTGCAATTATTGAGTGCCAAGCAATGCAGTAGAAAGTCCAATGCTTTGAAGAAAGGTACTTTTAAAATTTATAATAAAAGAAGCGTGTTTCACAGCTTGCTGAATGTAAGCTAAGAGAATTTATTATGTTATTGTAATTTTTTTACTTAAAAAGTTTTAGACGCAGATTAAGAAGACTTCGACCACGTGCAGAAATCATTTTCCTGCTGTGAGGTTAACGAAATGTCAAGCAAATGGATGACAGATACAGGAATGCAAATTGCTCCCTTTGAGGTCAATTTGTAACAACGAGATATCGGTGGTCGGGTATGGCACAGAAAGCCATCATTTCGTGCTCCAATTCCCTGAGCGTCTCTTGCTCAATTCTATTGTTTGAAAGAATTCGAGTGTGTAGAGTTATTTATTTTCTCTTCACTCGGAGGAAAAAACGGAAGCCTGCACATACCTCAGATGTTTAGAACAGTTGAGATTTACACCTAGAATCACGGCGATGCAATAAAGTAACGCTTGCGTTTATTCGTAGTAAGATGTACGCGTCGAGTGTTTTGAAAATGCAAATAATGATGTTGTTGATAAAATGTAAATGATACAATAGTTGTGTAAATGAAATGAAATCTGTTAATTGCTCCCTTGATCTGAGTTGTTTCCGGTAAACGTGAGTTCTTTTCTTTCGATCATGCAAGGTGAACAATTTTGAACGGGCGTGAAAGAGTTGACAAAAAGTTTCTGCTTCTGAAATCTCCAAGCAACCAAAAAGACACGTGGCTACTCTATCGTTGGTGTCTTTTCAAAGAAATTTTGGCGCGTTGGTGTGGTAACTAAGAGCAGAGACTAGTTTACAATTGACTGTGAAATGTTTATTGTAGTCATGATAACGCAATACTATTGAAAATTATAAGATTACGGGTTTATTGAACAACAGAAATGTCCAGGAAAATTTCCAGCCCTTAAACGTGACTTGTAGTCTCGTTGCATGTGAAACGAAAATTGTTCCGGAGAGGATACGCAAACGGCAGACAACAAGAACCTTCTTTCTCTGCCTTTCCAGCGTTTTTTTTTTTTTTTCAATTATGTGAAAAAATATTTAATCCTCGGTGAACAAGCAAAAATTTTTGTTATTCTTTTAGCGCTATCAGAAGGATTAGGAGATAAGGGATCGTAATCACGTGCAAATTTTCCGTGTAACTTTGCCGTGTGACAGACAATGGAAACATTCGATTTAAGTGTAGGGCCTTTTTCTTTCCTACTAAGGAGGAGAGGAGTGGCAACTTTAAAGGCATTCTCTTTTTCCATCCTCAACCTTCGAAAGATAACTAGACAATAAATTGGCCAGTAATTAAAGGCTACAAAAGAAAACAGAAGAAATTATCGCTAGGAAAGTTGACGCATTTTGCATTTGAAACCAATATACCATTAGGCAAGATTACGAATTAGGGGTCACTGCACAGACACAGCTGGTGTTCAGCTAATATTGCATTTAGAAAAATTTGTAGCCCTCTAATTAATTAATAGTCTCGTTGCACGTGATACGAAAATTGTTCTCGGAGATCTTTGGGAGGGAAATGAGAAACCAAGCCAACAGCAGGTAACAAGAACCTTTCCTTCTTTGCCTCTCTTCTCTTCTATCTAGGATGAGAAGCCAAGGGAACGTAATTCCGGGTAAATTTTGTCGTGTGACTTTGTTGCAAACGTGGAAAGCATTAGATCCGTGTGTTGAACTCCACGCCCCCTCCCCCCCCCCCCCCCCCCCCACCCCAACCCGGGCTTTATAATTTCCTACTGAGGGGGATGAAGCAGGTTTGAAGGGAGCTCAAGCTTAAAAAGGGTGAAAACCTCTAAGCCTTTTCTTCTTTTTCCTTTCTCAACCTTCAAAAAGATAAAAAAATAAAAAATAAATCTGCTTGCGGGCGATGAATGGCCAAAAAAAAAATTAGAACATATACAGAGGCCCTTTTTAAACTGACTTAGCCAAGTCTGTCTGCTTTTGTTTTTATGTAAGTGTTCTCTGGGGAAAATAGAGATGACAGTAAACTCAACATCTCATTTCAATTTGAATTCGTTTGGTTTGGTTTGGTTTGGTTTTTTTTTTTAAACAAAAACGTCATTAATTTGTTTTGAAGATTCAGTTCAGTATTTCACAATAATTCAGAAAAATCGAAATTTTACTCAATACAAGAACTAAAGAGCAAAACAAAAAATACACCTTCCTTTGGTATTACTGAATATAATGGTTTACGAACGCCGAATAGTTTAGTCTGGGCTAAGTACTTGATATTAATTATTCCATCAATCATCCGCTTTCATATACGGTACAAGCTTTTATGGTATAGACTATATGTAGTTAAAAAAATAGATACACTACTTTTTGTTTACGAAATTACATTTTTGTTTTTTCTTACGATGAGGTGAAGAATTCTGCGTCACAGTTAACTAGTTCTGAACTGTGCCAAACTTATACAAGTAAAGACTAACTTCTGCGCAATTCAAGCGCCACATGCCGGGTTTCATTGAGGACCACATTGCATAAAATATACGCTCATATTATTCTGAAAACTGGTGTCTTCCTTTCTTGGGTGTTTTTCCCTCACTAGCGCTTAAACGACCTGACTCTTTTCAGACTTCACTGGTTCTGGAAGAACTGTGATAAATCGTTCTTGCAAAAGTCTAAATAAAATTTTACACGACCAGCTCATTAACTGTAATCTCTTTCTGTATTCTCACACCGCAAAGATACTTAAAAAGAAAAACGAGGGGCGAAAAAGGGGACGAGAATTCGCTTCTACCAAAAATCTCGTTGATTTTTGCTAACCCCCGCTTTCCTTCGTCTACTTTGATCGAGAACCTGAAACAGCCCGGCTTATTTAATAGCTGTGTAAGAAGATCCAAGGATCCTATTGTTATTATACTCTCCTAATTTTAGAGCGAATTGAAGAAAATTCATAAGGCACTCCTAATTGTCAATTCCATACCACATTATCAGCTTCACACCTTCAATATGGTTAATCAGTAATTTGCGATTTTGGCCTGATGTAGTAAAACATAGATGAAAAATGCTTTATAGAAACTATTTTACCTATCTACTATACAATGCCTCTTCGTTTCACTTAAATGTTACGATAGTATCTAAAGTATCTTTAGACCTCGTCGCTTTCCTCTTCAAAGTCTTCATATCTTTTTTCTTTGTCTTTGTTTATGTTTCTTTTCTTTTCATTTCATATTTAACTTGGCAACATTTGTGAAACATTTACCGGCATCAAATAAATCTCCCACGAGATAAAGTCTGGTCGACCGCATCTTTCTGTCGTGGATGTCTAAGAGCTGGGGAGAAAATAAAAAAACAGAAAAGGATGAGGACTTGATATTTCCAAATTCACTCAAGAATACAAGGGAGTTAATTTGCTGCTACAAAGAATCTCCGGGACACCGAGCGCATTCACTAAAACTCTATCGATAGTACACTCTTTTACGGAGCGTAAAACTGGGAAAACGATGTTTGTACTTCGTTAAAATCACTTTTCATATTGTCTACGTAATCAAGTTCTACTTTACTAGCACAGATCTGTCATGGATCTATTTTTATTGCCTTTATGGTCAAATATACCAGCTGCTACAATTTCACGGACAATGCTTTCGAGGTCACCCTGAAAAAGTGCAATTAACTTTGCATAACTGTACTGATTCAGTGATCCCTGTGCGTGACGCTTTTTAGCAACGGCTCTAATGCAGCCACACTCGCAGCAAAGAGAGTAACAGAAAGAAAAATAAAAAAATATCGTCAACAACGAACCCAAAATTTCAACTTCCTACGTGTCTGCAATATAATTCTGGTTCAGCGAGCTTGCACTTCACTTCCGTTGTTTACCTCACGTATACGCTTTAAGAAGCTTTACAATCTCAATTACGGTTCACTTTGAAAACAAATGTCGTGGGGTTTAAAAAATTATGTCACGTATTTTGATTTCCCTGAGGCAGTTTTGCATGCTATTTTCTTGGTGTTCTATCAACTCGATGGGATCAGTTACCGCTCACCGCTGAGAGACACTACATTCCCGTCACAAAATAATGCACCTGGATGCATTGTTTTTAGGAACTACTCTGTAACGACTAGCAAAAACATTTTGTGTATAAAATGTCTATTATGGCCACCTATGATCACATAGTTATAACTGATTGTTTGAAGTTTGCGACTGGAAAGCAGTCGCTTAAGCTTTCAGGGAATTGTTTGCTATGGAAATTAACGATTACTTCTAATGAGGAAATGCCTTGCTGAGTTATTTTACGATTTAAGTTTTTCCTTTTACATCCTATGTTTTTCTATTCACTTAAACTAAACCACGGATTTAACAAATTATCTGACATAACAATCGAGCCGCGCTCTCTTCATTTCCTTGATGTACACTTAGAGACGTAGCAAAGGGTAAAAATACCGTAGGAAAGTCTTTATGTCACGTTTTTAAAATACAACGTGACTCGAGAACGGGTATGGGTATTGAAAGATTCGAGTCTGTCGCAACAGCTCGTGAAAAAGAGCATGAAAAACTTCCAAGTGTGATCATAAAAATGAACAAAAAAATTGCCCCATTGTAGTGACATGTCAAAAAAATCCATCTTGCGTCTTATATTAAAACTAAATCATAGATCACTCTTCCTTCAATTCTTTCACGTGATCAGTTTGCAAAAATAGTAAGGGAGGGATTGAAAGTACGCTTTTTTGAGAAAGTACCTGAAATGTGAGATGAAAGCCACTCAATATCTACATTTCATTTTTTTGATCCTAGCTGTACAAGCATGAGCCAAATAAAGCCAGCAGGCTTAAGGGAAATCCAGTGTACCTACCTCCGGATTTTTGCATGGAAATTAGCATGAAAACAGAAGCACTCACGATCCATTTATCGGATTTATCTTCCCCTGGATTAAAAAACATTTTTGGGGGAGGGACCAAAATTGCCTTCATTAAAAGAAATTGAGAGTTCGTCATTGTTTTTAATGTCTAGGAATCTTTCTTAATTAACAATCTATTATGATGCGAGCTTTATATTGCAGCGGAATAACGATTAAAGGGCGCCTTTAGTCTGACATTTGTCCGCAGCGGCGTAAACGTGCACTATCAGAAATGTCTGTATGTAATACTCTGAGATTCAATTTTGTTTGATCGATCAACAGTAAAGAAAAAACATTTGTAGCTTAGTTTGCACAGGTGGTCGACACTGCTGGTATAGTACATGGTCAGCAAAGGTTTTCGAAGAGCCCTGTGCAATGAAACACTCGACCTATGTTGGTTTCGTATCGTGCAAAACGTGACTACTTTGAGACACAGAAAATATATTGTGAATAACATCCTATTAGATATACTACATAGGCGGTTAAGCTACCTTGATGTCTATTTTGGGACCACTTGTGATCAATGGATTATCTTTTCAGATCAGCCAGCCTCATGCACTGCTGGCAGGAACAGAGGTGCCTTTTGATGATAACGCTAAAAATTGGTGAAGTGTTTCATAAATAAACAGTGGAGCAGATATTGTAGACAAATAGGAATTCAAAGTGAAATCACACGATAATGATCCAAATAGACCGGGAAATAAAGACTTCAGATGGAATGAGTTAGAATTTAAAGAGGTTAGAATGTAAGAACGTTAGAATGTAACCTCAAATCCATTCATCCATTGAGTTGATTCATCAACTGAGTTTATGAAATCAATTGAATTCATTTTGAAAAACAGTCGGGTTTTCATCAAAATGATTGCAAAGCGCAAGGCGAAAAGTACATTGAGCGCTGATTTAAGCGGCCGAGCTCTAGGCTTTTTGTAGATGAAACGTGTCCTTTCGTAGAACCATGAGGAAACTACAAACTCATTGGTTTTTAACCAACTTAAACCTTACTGATGAAAGTTCGACGTAGAGTGAGAGATCTGAGTTACAGTCAGCACAATTCTTATGAAAAAAAGTCTTTATAAAATTTATTGCTCTGTGTAAAGAAAGAAAACTAAGTTATGATATCATTCAAAGGTGACCTTGTGAAACGAGCAGCTGACATGGAATGAAGAAAAATAACATAAAAATGAAATGAAGAAAAACGAAATAACACAAAGCTTAAAAAATACCACACAAAAAAGTGTAAAAATTCGTATAACTATCAAAGTTCACATCCGTGATAGGAGTAACTATGGCAACCGCTTTAAGTAAATTAGATTTTCCAAAGCAATAGCCCCTAGATACGTGATGTTTTGACTAATCCGAGAAAGGGACTTCCCAGAACCGTGAACTAAGAGAAGTTGATATGAACTTCCGATTGACGTTACGACTTCCTTCAAAATCCCCCGTATAAGATAACACTTCAGTTTAATCTTACGTTTAACCAAAACTATGCGATCCATTTCTAAATCGGTTTGACACCTTTATCGGTTCATTCACTCACGTTTTCGTTGCGATGCATCAAGAACAAGTAAAGATTTTGATTAAGATATATTTTATTTACTTAGAACATTTTTGAAATTGAAAGAATTTTTGCGTATCTCAAACTGAAAATGCGGGAACGTTTCATTCAAAGTTGATCATCGAACACGGTGAAAATATTCAATCCACGCCCCATTTTTCAAGTTTCTCTACTGACAGTAATGCCCCAAGGCACAGGATACACCAAACATTTGATTACCAAATGAAATGCTTTAATGGCTCGCACCAAAACAAACTTGAAAATGTCTAATTGATTTGACGTTGTGGTTAAATGTTTGCATTGCGTTTCTTTTGATCAAGGATTACTGCAGTTTCACCTCGTGACCTGCAAGGCGTAATATTGCTTTTCAAGAATGACTTCTCTTTCAGAAACACGCAAAGTCAATTCAAAAATCGACACTAATCTATCAACATTTCCTATAGGTCTTCTGCCTTGAAGTTCACTACTGTCTTAAGAATTAAAAAGCTTTGGAAAAGGTTTCCTCTTCTATTCATAGTTTGTTTGCCATGAAATGATGGCCAAATTGATTGTTCAGCGGAAGTCAACGAACATCTTGAAGTACCTATTTGCCTCGTTATCTTCCACAAGGGTACTGTTTTCTTTCAAAACATTTTTCGTTTATAATTTCCATACTTGTTTTCCTAAATCTAAGGTGTTTACGTCCAATCCTGAGCCTTTTAGGGAGTTCCAAGTAAATTTACAACACAAAAGGCTTTCTTTGTTAGAAAAGAAAACAATGAGTTGTTTTGGTTTTGAAAAAAACTGATCAATCGTTTTACATCGAATGTTGCGCTAGAGTGCTTTTTCCCACGAAAAAATTTTTTGAGAGGACAATAATAATCATAGCAAGTCAGAGTTCGAGAAAAAGAAAACGCACCTTGGAGTTGTTGATATGGTTCACTTCTGGGTGATACGACTAAAGAAGTATAATGTACACAGAGACTGATATGATTTGGAGGTGCGATACAAACAATTATTGCCGGTCAACACAATTTGATATCCGTAGCGCGCGGCTGAGTTAGAGCATTGAATGTATAATAGTAAGCCAAGTTTTAAGTACCAAAGCAATGTACAACTCATAGGAGTGTGTCGGAACAATACATACAACAAAGAAAAACAATTTCTCAACAATTTACTTACCTACAATAAAGAATATTTTCTTTTCAACACCAGCTAAATCGTCTCGAGTGAGCGTGTGTCAACCTTTCCTCAGTTAACAGAAGTGTTTGGACTCGTGGGGTGCTGTCCACTTCATTGCGGTCAATACAGGTGGCATCGAATTCTTCCGCTTTTAGTTCACTTTTCAAGTTCACTATTTTCGCCCGCAGACTGATAAATAAACTGACCAGGTCCCTGTCTGGTGTTTTTATACGATTAAGTTCCTCAAGGATCCACTTTAGCGCTTTACTCAATTCGTCCAGTCTTTCTTTTTTGCTTTTATACTTTCCTTCTTGTTGCAGCCTGCTGAGTAACTGTCGGGCGTGTTCCAGTGCGCTCTGCGTGCTGTAGCCGGACAGTTTAGCTGTAGCATTTGAGTTATTAAACGAGCGTGCTGGGTTTAAAGTGGCAACCGAATATCTACGCGCGGGATGGTTTCCACCTGCAGGGTACGAATCTAACGATTGCACCGAGGAAAATCGTCGGATTGGCCTTGCGGCGTTCAAACTAGTGTGGCTATCGTCCTTGAAAGGAGTTAAATCGCCGGATATCGGCTTAGCTGTTAACGTGCTGTAGACGGCACTATCGCTGTCAGACGACGAGTGATAAGAACTGTTTGATGAAAATGATGCCTCGCTGCTAATGTCGCTAAACACGTCCTCCATGGAGCGACTAATGTTTCCTTTAACGTCCTCCACCTGTAATCCTGGTCTTACTTTGCCAACCCCGTTTACTTTAGGTCCTTTGAAACCTTGCGCTTGTGCAACCAATTTCTTCCACTGATCGTCGTCTTCGTTTCTGCTACAATCAACACTTTCTGTATCTTTTCCTCTTACATCGCTTTCACACCCTTTGTCATCAACATCACACACATCAGAACCTTCATTCGTACTTTTTCGCGGCCTCGGCAACACGATGCTGACCTTCTTGAAACTTGTATACCCTGGGACGCTATGAAAGCTACCATCGGAAAATCGGCGACGATTCAGTGAGGAAACCCTGCTGATGGAATTGTTTGGGGTAATTGAATTAACCTTGACGCTGTCGTCATCAGTGCTGTATTCTTCTGAGACAGCGCTAAATACTGGAGCGCTTGTTTTCCCAGAGAATCCAAGAAAACCATCCGAAGCGCGTCTTCCATTGCGGGTCTTTGACAATTGTGATAGAAACGTTACATTATAAGCGGGAGTGACACGTCGGATCGGCTGCTCGATACTTATTTGAAATTGGGGTCGCACCACGGCCTGCGTATCCGTTTTCACTTCCCCATTCGTTGTGCTGTTCCTCGACAATTCTCTTCGCTCGCTGTTGTAGAACCGATCTGGGTTTTCAATCCCTTCGCCTTTCCTTGTGGTTGGAAAACCCTCCAATCGAACGTCTCCAAGGGAGATAGAATGCCTGATCTTCACTTGATCCCATCCGTTGTGTTGTTCTCGGTCGTGTGTCCTACTTACTTCCCACGTTTTGTACATCCCGTCGCTATCCGCAGTGCTGTTTTGCCACAGCCTGTCTTTATACCCGATCTCCTTCATGCTCGCCACTCCACACAGCATTCTTTGAAAATCTGGCGCTTCACACACAAGTGAGAGCAAACATTTTGTGACGTGGTGTACTTCATAAACAAGCGCATGTGATTATTCAAACGATACTAATTTCTTCCTCGTGGTTGTTTAGCTATATTAAGCGACTAACCGCAAATTAGTCTGATGTCTAGATTGTTCGCCTGTCAATCTCTACACAGTGAAACATTCCACACGTACTGCAACTCGGACTATGCAAGATAAAGAGAATACTTCTAGCTGTTAGATTTTGACAGCTTGAAAGTCACCCACCTATTGTGCGGTTAATAACTTTTGTATTTAGTAATAGGAGCAGCACGTAGTTCATGAACCTTGCGGAGATTTGGTTACCCCCCTCCCCCAGGGAGGCAAAATACAGACAAAGAAACTCCGCTTTAAAGATTACCACAGTCACTGCGGGGTTTTTTTTTTGACGCACCTGCAATACTGGTTGTTCGTATTGAAGACTGCAATATGCAAATAATCGAAGAGTTTGTGTTTTATTCTGGATCAATATAGTTTTCATTTTCAGTGATAACCAAGCTGTCTCTTCATCGGTTCGGGGTCAAATTGGTCGGTTTCTTTTGTAACCACTAGTCAGCTTAGATACAGTGAAAATCATTTGACAGGTCAAGATATTTCTCTTAGCTAGCCATAAACTGCCATCGATCACCAGAACAACTTAGAGACGATCTGTGTATTGCTGGGCTCTTGAACAATGATCGCAATTTAAAACTATAAACATTTCAACTCAAATTGAAATAAAAATGTCGGATAAAACGACTAAATACATTGGAAATTGCTGAAATTCTTACGATGTCGCTAATCTGACAACAAACATGTTTGCCACTGGGATCAACACTCCGAAAGATTCAAATAACTGAGCGATTTTTAATTAACTTTGCTTCTTTTGTTTTTGAAGTAGTGCAAATACAGAATAAAACTTACTAAAGAAAAATTTGAATAATTGCCCCTAGTAAATCTTTGTTGAAAAGTCAGCATTTCTGACTTCACTAACACAGACATGCAGTTTCAAAGAATCTAAATGCCATTTTAAGCCGTTTAAAGTAACCGTTCCACATACTTGTTCCAATTAAGTAATAATGAAGCCACCCGGCTTTGAGAGAATTTGCAGTTCAAAAAAAATTAACCCTTGTAGTTATTTGTGTCATTTGACTCCTGAATTGTTCAGCTGGTTACTCTTTGGAACGGAAAGGAATATCATGCCAAATACTTCGATTTAAAAGCGGATATCCGCCTCTGAAGTTCTATTTTAGCGCGCGCGCCTTGCTCAGTGGCAGACGGACGGTTTCGACAAAGGGCCTAAAACGTATGACGCAATTTCGAAAAACAGAAATAGAAAGCGTAATTAATTTCAACTGCTAACAATTCGAAGAATTTTAAGAAATTCGTTAATATCACGTATTTTTTAAGTATCCTAACTCGATAAGTATGTTCTAATTACAAAGCGATTTAGAGCTAATGAAGTCCTATCGCACTTGCAAAAGCACTTGTACCTGACTTGCGAGAATGAGGTGGGGAGACTGGATCGGGAGGAGCCATAAAATTGATACTTTTCTGAGGGGAGGAGGTGAAAGGATATGTTTATATTCACAGAATTCACTTTGCTGCCACTGTTCAATCAATCCAAGGCGATCAACAAAAATTTTTGTACTGCTCCATAACCAAAAAGTGCTTCATCGTTGATTTCAAACGTATGGCTCTGAATATTCACAAGCACAGATGAATATTTGAGTACAAATTAATGGACTGACTCGAAAGAATCCAGAGACTTTTCGTATAAAAGCCAGATATTAACTCTTAATTAGTTTCAACTACAATACCATGAATGAAGGAAATCATTTGATAATCGAGCAACGCCCTGTTAAGCACTTTATAGGATTTGGGCTCCAGTTCGGCGTGTAGAAGGCGATACTGATATAATATAAAGATTCTTGGCGTCAGCGTCCTCTTACTTCGTGAGGTTTGAGGTCCCTGAATTGGACTGAATGATTATTCACTTAAGTCCTTTTCAAAAACCTTCAACAAATAGTTTTAGGCCAGTACAAAACCGGTCTGCGTTACCTTTCATGTTTGGACAATATCTGAAGATCTAGAATCTCACGGTTGCTTTGTATTAAGAGTAAGAGCTTAAAGCAAACCACGAAGGTAATGGAAAGGATAGAAGTGGTGAAACAAAAGATTTAATGAATAGAACAATAGCTCTACCTGAGTGCTTTAAAACTTTAAACATTTCACTGCCGCCCTCGATGAAATATCAAAGTGAAATCACAAAAGTTTTCGTGATATGGAAACTGGAAGCGCGACGACGAATTGTTAACAGTTTTGATGAATTCAACGCTTCGTTCACATGCCATGCTAAAACCAGGGTCTGGCGTCGCGAGGGACGGTAAATACATCCAGCAATATGAGAAATTCTACAAATAAACATAATTTATGCTTTACTCAATGTTTCCTTCAGCGTTCCCTTCTGACTGGCTAAGGTCGCTGGTTCCTCAAGTGACGTACGATGTAATAGAACTGTCTACGAAATTAAAGTTTTCTTTTACTAATGTTAAAATATGGTTGGCAAAGAGGGAATAACCACGCATTATTTAACAATTATTTCGTTTACAAGTGGCACATAAAAATTCGAATTCAAGTCTTAAATCATTTCGTTATCGGCATGTTCATTTAGTTCTAGGCCAATTCATGTTAACTCTCTTAGTTTCACTTGAAGAATACTTGACTCAACTGAAACCCAACATCACTGTATGTGTGCATGTTTTACTAAAACAATTCTCTTTTGTGATCAGCTGTAATCAACTATATGGGCCTTCGTGGAGACACGTCGTATAAGACAGACCACCAGAGATGATGCATTTTTTTAGATACTATTCCAAAACACTTGAATATTAACGACTGCTACTTCCCACGAAGTTATTATCAGCTTAAACGATCCAATTTTTCCTTAAAAGTAATCTTCCATAATATTGTCGTTATTCTTCAAGAATGATAAATTTACAATATCTTTCAGAATTATTACGTCGTAATCAAATTCTACTGCTCAAAATACACTATCGTAGACTTTAAGTTGTGCAATCTGAGAACTGCGGAAGATTTTAGACTGATCGTTTAATTAGTTGTCATATTTCAAACCAACTATTGACAGTCGAAGAAAATTGATATGGTTTCGCTAAATTTTCATGATCAGACGTGAGTAGAGAAAAACCATGGAGATTGCAATTTTTTATGGATAAACTGACGACTCTCCGGGAATATAACACACCCAGCCCACAGTTGCTCAACAAAAGTACAAACTGAAAAAGTCTGGCTGAGCTTCCTTTTCATTACTTCAATTCCTCCAAGCAAAGTATAATTCTGAGGGACTGTAGAACCTCAAAGAAGTCCCTATAGTTACAAAACGTTCATGGATTGAACTTTACAGTTTAGTAGAGGGATAGATATTTTAAAGTATACCGAACACTTAGCAAGTGGCAAGTTTTTCGCCAAACATTACGAGATCATCTCTGATGTTTCAATTACCTTTCCGACTGGGCCTTTTGTTGTTGGATCTTAAACGAGATTATCTAGTGATTAACTTCTCTATTCGGACGTATGACTATATTTGCTTGAATGAAAACCCTGTACGTGCTGACAGTTGTTTTATTAGTGTCTTGGAGCAATATTTAAGATTTCGACGATACTTTAAGATTTGACCAGCTTTGGTGTTAATGATCGAATGGGTTCATTTACACATCATTGTGTAGGAAGTAAATATAAACGTACTAAGGATTATTTACGTAATCAAAATATGTAGAGAACAGATATGGCCTCCAAAGACTTAATATAACATACGGTGATGCTCTCATATATTTTCTTCCTCACAGTACTTTGTAAAGTGCTTGTAAAAAGTGACTCACAGGCGACAGAATATCTTTTTTTTTTCACGCAAATTGAAGTACGCTTGACCCAAAAAAGTTCAGTAACTGAGCTTAGCTAAGAGAGAGTTCACTGTTATTTCAGAGTTTTCAGTCTGGGAGACGAGATTGCCGCAAAAAGGAGGGGTGGAGAGGGTGGGGGAAGGGCACTGTGAGAGAGGAATGTAGGAATTAGTTTCCAAGGAACCTGTTGTGCTGCGTAGGTGGGAAAGTATAACAAGATAATTTGGTTGTATGAACTGAGTCTCTAACGGTAAAATGGCCACCGTAAAGAGTTTCCAAAGCACTAGGAATTCTTCGCGGTGACCAATTTGCATTTATTTATCAATTCAAATGAAGATGAGAGTGTTTATTGCATCAACTCTGTCGATAAAACAGAATTATTCTATGGGAGAAGAAAGCTTTCGAGAAACTTTAAGTAAGCCTACTAGCGAAGGGGAGGGGTTCATTCGAGCGTTTAGGTACATGATCATTATACTTAGAGTCAATTAACACCTCGACGTCAGCAGAAAATTATCTTTGCGCGACTTGCAGTTTAGTTCCGAGGAAGGTAAATACGTATCCCAAGAGGTAAGACAATCCTTTAGGAACTGGATATTCTTTGGTGGTATTTTTAGAACAATAAAGAATTTAAAAATAGACATGCTTATAATTATTCTTTTCATCGTCACAACCATTTGTCTTGTTGTGGCACCTTGTGATGGCGAGACATGCAATCTTGCGTTTAAAAGGTTGGTCTTTCAAACTCATCGCGGACTCTGAAACCATCGACTTCGGAACACAGACGCTGTTCACGTTCGGAAGCAGGTTTAAAAAGAAGGCGAATTAGAACCACTAGATACGATAAAAACGATGCAATAAAAATGGATTAACAAATTCAAGTTCACCAAACTATGGCAATCGTGAAACGACAAACAAAAGGCAACGAAACAAAAGCGAAACACACGGTTGATGACGAACGTAACAAGAAAAGTAATCAGCGATACCACGAACTATGAAAATCAGCCTTACTTTCCCAGCATTATCTGATCGCGCGACAATATTCGAAAAGAACCCTAACTTATAACAAGAATGAGGAGCACAGAAAGACCAATTGGCCAGCACATGCGCAATGAGGCGTGAGGTAAGAAATAATCAAAGACTCATTAGGCAAAAGGTGCTCATTGAGGCGAGCAAGCTCTAACGCTGATCGTAATTAAGATTCATTTGCTCGGGGAGACAAAGGCCCCGTCCACACGTATCCGGATAAATTTGAAAACGGATAAATATTTATACGGTTACGGGTTCCGTTCACACGTAAACGGCGTTTTCACACACCGAAAACGGATGAATTTGAAAACGCTCTCCAGAGTGGATAAATTTGAAAACGCTCTCCAGAGTGGATAAATTTGAAAACGCTGGCTAAGCGTCTCCGTGTGGACGCCTTATCCGGATAAATTTGAAAACGATTTGAAAACGATGACGTAACAATTCAAACCTAGTCTAACGCGTGCTCTCGGCCGATAGATCATTAATGAAAACATGGCGAATAAACAAGCTCCAGTTTCGGTACTAATGAGTCTCATTTCAAGCTGGAAGCTCAATTATTAAAAGAAGGTTAGCTGAAAGTGCACTGTTTTCCTTGTAGTGATT